CCCCCGCGACCCGACCCCGGATAAGCGGAAGAAAATGGATGGATGGATGGATGGATGGATGGATGGATTCTAATTTAAATGAGGATTAAAAAATCAGTAATACTGTTTCACAGTTGATTTAAAATGAGTGGTTCACTTCAACATTTAAAAATGGTATGAACTAAACACACTTCTGATTATCAAGATATTGTAAAATAGTAGTGATAATATAAAAAAGAGAGTGTTCTTTCAATTGATTAGTTCAGGATACAATTAGACAGTCTCTGGATGAGCTAATTTGTATTTCTGGATTCAAATCAATGAAATAACAGTTCCTGTCCCATGAAGGTCTTCAGAGGCAGGTTTTGGTCGCAGGCCTAGTCCACTACACAAGTATAATTTAGATAAACACAAATTTTACAGGTACCTGCAATTGAGAGACTATTACAGGACAGAAATCAAGTGGGATCCCTCTGTGGAAGTGAATGGTGTGATTGAAATTGTGATATAATCATTCAGTGGAACAAAAATTAAAATCATTTCTACTCTATACCAAAAACTGATGATGAATAAACATTCAACTAAGTATGTAAAAGAAAAGTGGGAATCAGAACTTAACATGACAATTACAGATGAAGATTGGTCAGACATGTGGAAAACACATCAGACATCCACCTATTCACAGATATGGAGGTTGTTCACGTGGAAAAATCTAATAAGATTTTTCATAACGCCTAAAGTCAAGAATAGATATAAGAATACAAACACAGGGTGTTGGCAGAACTGTGGATAAATGAACGCTGATCACTCTCACATATTTTGGAACTGTCCTAAAATTGTTCAATTTTGGAAAAATGTACATGAAACTGTGAAGAAGGTTTTGGGATATGATATTCCTATGAGTAGCATGGTACTATATCTCTGTAATTTTAACAATACCAAAGTGAGGGTAAAAGACAGGTATCTGATTAAAATAATGTTAATAGCTAGCAAGAAAGCTATTACGAGGAAATGGGGAAAGGCTGACCACCCCTTGTCAAGAATAGTGGACTGGAATAATAGAAGAAATCTACATTATGGAAAAACTGACACATCGTTTGAGACTTCAGCAAACACAAATGGAAGAAAAGTGGATGAAATGGACAACATTCAGGACAAAAGACAGTGACAAAAACTAAAGAAAGAACTGGACAAACTAGGTGGGACAAAGGTCAAATAGAGGAATAACTCAATTCAATTCAATTCCGTTTATTTATATAGTGCCAAATCACAACAAAGTTGTCTCAGGGCACTTTACAGAAACATTCACATACATAAAAGCCAATTAGTAAAGTTCTCTATCTAAGGAATCCAGCAGACAAGTTGAATCTTGGCTTCGTTGCAGTCTCCCATCCTGAGCAAGCACAGTGGCAACAGTGGAAAGGAAAAACTCCCTTTTAAAAACCTCCAGAAGAACCAGGCTCAGGACAAGCGCCCATCTGCTTTGACCGGCAAATAAGAGTTAGAGCAGGAGGACAGATTAATGCCAGGGAGAAAGACTGAAAAATTCATTCCTAAGGTGCTCATGTCCAAAAACCAAAATCTCAGTTTTGTCTGTGTTCAACAGGAGAAAATTAAGGGTCATCCAGGTTTTTATGTCTTTAAGACATACTTGTAGTCTAAGTAGCTGATTGGATTCATTGGGTTTAATGTACAAATATAATTGTGTGTCATCAGCATAACAATGGAAATTTATCCCATGCTGTTTAATAACTTTACCTAATGGAAGCATATATAAAGTAAAGAGTATTGGCCCAAGCACTGAGCCCTGAGGAACTCCATGACTAGCTTTGGTGTATGAAGAAGATTTATTATTTACATTTACAAACTGGAATCTATCAGATAGATATGATTTAAACCATTTTAGAGCCGTTCCTGTAATCCCGATATCATATTCAAGCCTCTGTAGTAAAATATTGAGATCAACTGTATCAAATGCAGCACTGAGGTCTAACAGGACCAGTATAGACACAAGTCCATTGTCTGAGGCCATGAGAATATCATTAGTGACTTTTACTAGTGCTGTTTCTGTGCTATGATGAGCTCTAAACCCTGACTGAAACTCTTCAAACAGATTATTTCTTTGTAGATGTTCACGCAACTGACCTGCAACTATTTTCTGTAGGATTTTTGAGATGAAAGTTAGATTAGATATAGGTCTATAGTTGGCCAGAATTTCTGAATCAAGATCAGACTTCTTAAGTAAAGGTTTGATTACAGCAACCTTAAAGCGCTGTGGTACATAACCATCCATTAAAGACAAATTAAGTAGATCCAAAATGTGGACATTAATTAGGGGGAATACCTCTTTAAAGGTCTGGTTGGGATGGGATCTAGCAGACATGTGGATGGTTTGGATGAGGTTATTATTTTTGACAATTCAGAGAGCTCAACAGGACAAAAACTGTCCAAACATAAATCAGGCTCTAGTGAAATTTGTAAAGTTGCCTCATTTGACAGGGGACTAGAGATAGTAGAAGGAAGGATGGTTTGAATTTTCTCTCTAATTGAAATAATTTTATTTATAAAGAATCTCATGAAGTCATCACTGCTTATAGTTGTAGGGATACATGGTTCAACAGCAATGGGACTTTTAATTAGTTTAGCAATAGTACTAAACAGAAACCTAGGGTTATTTTTATTCTCCTCTATTAAAGATGAGTAATATAAAGTTCTAGTGTTATGGAGAGCTTTTTTATATGTTAGCAGACTATCTTTCCAAGTTAAATAAAATTCTTCAACATTAGTAGAGCGCCTGGTTTCTAGATGCCTGCTTTAAGGTACGTCACTCAGAATTGAACCAAGGAGCCAGTTTCCTCTGATTGATTACTTTCTTTTTCAGTGGAGCAATATTATCAAATGAAGTTTGCATTGAAGTTGTAAGATGATCAACTAGATGATCTAAGTCACTGTTTTCTGATGCATTAATCTGCAAGACAGAGGAAAACATTGATAGAAGAGATTGCTTAAATTTGGTTACAGCATTTTCCCAACTCCCAAGCAAAAGTTGTTTTTTTGTTAAGTTTTATGTTATGTTGAAAGTGAAGTGTTCATGTACATTGTATATGTAAACATTTATGAAAAATACCAATAAACAGTTAAATGAAAAAAAAAAAAAGAAACAAGTTTGATTGTTCAATTTAATTTTACTCTCTCTGTGCCCCCCCCCCACACACACACACACACACAAACACACACATACACACAATCCTGAGCCTAGTACACACCAACAATAATTTCTTCCAATGCTGTGCAACCTGAGTTTGTGAAATAAAGATACGACAAATGACACAAGCATGATTTGATGCTCTGGGTTTCTGCAATGCGCTCACGAGTGAAAACACATCTTCTGAACCAGTCTCAGCCCAAACAAAGTGGTTGACGAAGGACACACTGATACCTTGTTTTGTTGAGTGTTGGTGAATCACATGCTCGGCTGCTCTGACCACCTTCACTGCTCCCTCTGAGGGCTTCATCAGCCCACCATTGTTTTTAAGTTAAAGCAGCTGGTAGCTCTGGTCAAAAGATGAGGGTACAGCAGCTGTGATGTACGGCACACGTCGCAGGACAGGTTTTCATAGTTTTTCTGACAATAAACCCTGAAATGTAGACCAGGGCATTGTCACCAAAGCAGATGGCAGGTAACTATAGTCACATGACTCCAGAAATGTTTGCAAATGGGGACAGAAGCTCTTCCACTGCCATTAGAGCAGAGTGCATGTTTGCAGCTGATAGGGACAAAGTCTCATCTCAGTGTTTCCTCTAGTTAGCTTGCCATGGCGGGGTGCTCATCTCATCCATGATTTTTGCTGATGGGGGGACGGAGACATGTCTGAGAGCAGCTTGTACTAACACTTTTAGAGCAAGGGCGGGGGTCGTTCAACATGAGGGAAGAGGCAATGTGAGTGCTGCCTTTGGCTTTTTAGCTAGAGAGCCTGTATTTTGTGTCGGTAGCTTAGTGATTTGTCAGTGCCGGGTGGGGGTGAGAGAGTCAAGTTCAGTTCTGTTGACGGGGTGGGGCACTCCGCCTGTATAGGGGAAACACTGCATCTTGTGCTGCCACGTTGCCAGACCCACTTGGTGAGACACCACAACGGACCATTAGACGGCGGAAAATGCCCTGGAACTGCCCTGCAGTGAGATTGTTATTCCAGCCTCCTAAAAACAAACAAACAAACAAACAAAAAACACATTTACACACTTAGATTACAGAGTTGTTTAATGAGGACAGTCACAGCTATAAAAGACATATCTTCTGAGGGTAAGCAAGGAAACTGTATAACCATTTTCCCCACAGGTAAGCTATAAAAAGATACACACTGGTGTCTGAAGAGGTCTATCACATCAAAACATACTGTAAACTACGGATGAATAATAAGTATGAAAAAAATCTATTAGAATTTGCCCACCCAGGTGGTACCGATATCCGGTCTGGCCCATGGACTAAAAAAAAATAAATTATAAATGTTAAAATTCTGCCTGAAGGCCTGACAGAATTGAAGAAAAGCTCCAAGTGATCCTGAGTGGAGCAGTATGTGCAGACATAACGCTGAACTTGGAGCAGGTCAGAGAAAATCCTCAACCAAGACAATCCTAAAACAATACAGTCTAATATAAATTAATAAAGTGCACCACAGATATACTGGGTGCAAAATTACTGGGTGCTTCTTGAAAGTATAATCAGTAAATCAATCAATCAAATCTATAATCAGTAAAAAATATAGGCATAGCTGCTCGCTTTGTGTTTACTCCCATTGGCTCTTAGAGAGAGGAGAGACCCGTCCAATATGGCGGCGACGCTCAAGCGCGTAATGCGTTTACTGATCTAGTCCAAACATTTATTTTGAAAATCTAAACCGGAATAAGTGTTTCCTGGGTTTTCCTGTGACGTTTCCTTGTCGTTTGTTTGTGTTTACAAAAAATGGAGCCTGAAACGAGACCGAAACCGTCTTGGTAGATCATAATGTGAGTGTTTCTCCGCTTGACTTTGAATTTCTGTTGATTTCTGCGCATAAACTGCTGGTTTAACTAACTAAAATGTTTAAATAAGGTTAACCAGGTTAGTTCCGGTTCAACTTACGTTCCTAAAACGAAATCGAAGTTTGCTGAGTTTTAGCAACACTTTCCCGTCGAGTTCGGCTCGTTAAAACAGTTGGTGTTTGTTTTAACTGTTTTGGTTGAATTCTCTCAAAACACACTTTGAGCCAGACTCCATTCATTTTTTGTAAGATTTTACTAAAATCGTTTTCTTTCAGAAAAACTATTAAAAACATAATTTTGGTAATATTTTTGTTGAAGTACTTAAACGTTCCTGTTATTCAGAAGCATTAGTTCATGAATAAAATGTTTAATAGATACTTGCTGTAGGAATACTGAATATTAGTCTGTAAGACAAAACTGTCCAATCTTGTCTGAATCTAAAATCCTGTGTTCCAACACTGAGCATGGAGGAACACTAAACCTTAACCTACATGTTTTTATTTAAGATATAGATCGTTGGTTACTTACTGTAACCCCAGATTCTATGAGTATAAGTGTAGCCCTTTAAAGATGTCGCTGGTGGTTTTATCCCGTCATGCAAAGCATCGCACTGAAAAAATTTAGTCCACGCCCACCTGCTGTGTGGGCCCCACCCGGTCCGTATAAGTTACATTAAGAGCAGGTAATCGACTCCCAAATAGCTTTTCTTCAGCCATTTAGGAGCCAGTGAGGCCCAACTCTTAAAGGGCTACGCCTATACTCATAGAATCTGGGGTTACAGTACGTAACCAACGTTCTATTTCGTATAGGCTTCGCCCTTTAAGGCTGTCGCTGATGGGTTAAGGGCGAAGCAGATCTAGTCCTCGCCTCACTGGGTCCATTTGAACACCATACGAAGCGGCAGCTTTCCCAAAAACGTCTTGTCACTCAGCTCTCCATGTGCGTAATTACGCGTTGCGTAATTATGCGTACCATGCACAGACGCGTGCTGTGTAGCTATGCGTTCTGAGAGCATGAACGCCCTGGAAAAGCTTTCAACGGGGAAAGGAAGATGCTGAAAAATACAATAGAACAAGAACAACAGTCACAACTTGTGACTGATAACAACATCTCACACTGTAATGCATGCAGACAGATGTGAGTTTAAACGAGGTTCCATGAAACAACAATATTCATTCTGTTAAAACACTTTTAAGGACAGAATGCGTCATGGAACGAGCCGTCACATCACGTAGATAAAAGTGAATGAATGAGCAGGGTGTTGACCACGCGGCCGCAGTGCAAAATATCCAGCATTGTCATACCATTATGCAAGGCAGTCGAAGATGCGATACCCCTGATCGAGTGTGCTCTGAGGTTGACAGGAGGCTCTAAATCTGATGCTCTGTAGGCTTCAGAAAAGGCCTCACACAGCCAGTGTGACAGGTGCTGGGTGGATAACGGGCGACCTGCAGATGCATCTCTATAATGCACAAACAAATGTTGAGTCTGACACATTGCGGCCTAGGGCTGGGTACCTTTCTAAAAAAATTGGTGTCGGTACCTTCACTTCGGTGTCGGTTCCTGGACGGTTCTTTTTTCGGTACCAGTTTTGTAATTATTATTAATTCTAACAAGAATAAAATTATGTTACACATTACAGTACAAATTGTGTTTTATTTTTTAACTTTGATATTTTTCTATTCCAAACAGTTTTCTTACATAAAAACAAACAAATAATTTCCAGGTCAAAAGACCAGTTTCAAACCAGTGACACGTCAGCGTCTAATGGTCACTGCTACACACTGAGGACCTTTTCACTGAACAGTTTTTCTTCAGAAAAATCAACATGTCTGTTTTCTGTGGACACAAACAAGCCCACTCCTGGCTGATGGTGTCTCCAGCAGTAGGAAATGTTCACTCTGAGGGTGTGGATGATGATTGTTGCACACACAGATACCTGGTTGTCTGTTTGATAGCACTGACATATTGTCCCTCACATCCCACCAGCAGGTCACTGGATTCACTGAGGTAGGGATGATGCAGACTTCTGCACCTCTGTGTCTCTGCCTGAATCTTCTCTGTGGTTCTCTGGGGTTTAGGACTCTTATCATCTCCCTGTTGAACAAAACATCAACAATAACATGGTTGTGTTATTATTGATCAAAAAACATTATCTAGGCTGAGAGATAAAGGTTTAACTGGTCAACAACATCCTTTAAAGTTTAATTTACCTCCAACATGCAGCTCCACTGTAGAAAAAGCAGCAAATTTTTAACAACAAAGTCTGACTGTCCTGTGGCCTCCTCCTCGCTTTTCTGTCTGTCTGTCCTCACATCAGGGTCAGAACCGCCTGTGAGGAGAACATTAACATAAACAGTGAACATTAGTGAACTGTTTAAGCAGCTGACTGGATAAATGAGAAGCTTTACAAGCTAAGATTTATGTTACTGTCAATCTTTAGTTAGCTTCTGAGTTTAGCTAGCTACGTAGATAAAATAAATTTACACACTAATATCTTAAAAGTTAGCGTTATGGATCACAGTTTATTTCACCGCAATGTACATGTTAAGCTACAGTAATGTTAACAAACGTACACTCACCAGCTGAAGCACAGACACAAGAGACGTCCTTGGAGTTCTTTGATGAAAAGTCCGGTCGTGGAGATAATGAATCAGGACGTTCAGGCTCTTCTCACAGGCTGACTTAAATGGTGAGAGGAGGAGGAGGGGGGAGGCTAATGAACTCTTCTCTCCTCGCAGAAAAACACAGAGCAACTTTCTGCAGCGCGTGTTCTCGAAGCTGTTCGACAACACGCGCTGCACACGTGAACCCGTCTGTGGGCGTCACCAGCACCATAGACATAATTATACATAGATTTGGTACGGCAGCTCTATACAGCTCTGGGTGTAATCTGGGTCTAGTCTGTTTGTCATATGTCTGGTGTTTTGCCAGCCTGCATGCTGAAAGCACGTGACACGTTACAGCCAATACCGAAACTTGACACCGAAAGAAGAGTGATGTTTCAATACATACACCGACCAGTGCAGTTCGGTCGGTGCCATAAAAGAACCTCGGTTTGGTACTCAGCCCTATTGCGGCCGTGCGTGCTATGTAGCACGTCAACGCACGCACAGGACAGATGGAAAGATGCTTCTTCTTCTGATTTGTGGGGGGAGGGGAGGGAAAAACCCTCAAAAGATATTGCTCTTGATTTAAAAGAGCTCGTGATGTTTTCTCTTTCTCCTTCAGCGCGCACCAACTCACATCAGCATGCATGTGAGTTCACAGCATCAACGCGTGCCCGCTTGATAACTTTATAACATGTGGCAATGAGCGCGCGCTCCAGACGGATAGGCGAACCGTTTTCATCCGGGAATTCACGCTGCAGTACAGCTCAAACCTGGTGCGGAGGAACTCTAATGACGTTTTCTGTTATTTCTAGAACAGATCTCGTCCCCTCTCGCAGAAGCTCAGGAAATTCTGATTTAAATGTAATTTTCCAGAGTCTCAGAAGGAGAGGAAAACGCAGGGTTCCTCTCTCGTCACTCCCTGGTCCCAACGAACCGGAAAGATGAGATTTATTCTAGATTTGTCAATTTTGAACTGTGAGAAACAACACTCCATTAATGGGCCCGAGCCGCTCTGCAGCCGCCGCACAGAGCAGGGAGGAGAATTCTGCTTTATCTGGACATCTGCTGCTGCTGAGCAGTTTGTACAGACAGGTGGCAGCAATGCAACTCATGTGAACCGGTTGAGTGATATCAGCTGTTTCTGTCAGCAGACCTACATCACACATGTCAGATTTCACAGAGGCACACACATTTAACAAGCTGTGGGGGCGCTGTGGTTCTCCACACAGCAGCTCATTTAAATGTTTTTGGAGTGTTGCACGTTTTTTTTTAATGTGATTCAACACTTTGCCTTTGAGCTGCGGAATCATCAGAGTTTTTGATTCACACAGACAGCAAGTGACTGTTGCATACATAACTGGCAGGAGATGTATGCGCTCAACCCATGTGCCACATTGTGAGACAGATGCTGTGTGGGGCACACCCAATCTGCTCTCCATTGGAGTAGGGTACATCTCATGTATTCTGACCAGGGGACGGATGTGATGTCCAAAGACGGACCTTTGCGGCACGGGGACCTGGGACCTTCCACGTTCCACCCAGAGGTATGGCTCAGACACGGCAGAAATCCTGCGAGCGGCTGTGGATGTGTAGCAACACGAGAGAACGCTCAATGTTAACTATAATTATCATGGAGCCACGGGACGATCTACCACTAGGGGTGGACGTGACTGCTCACAGCCTGTGGTCGTAATGCTTCTTCACCTCCCTCTCTCCCTCTGATATCACGGTTTTCTGAACCGAGCTCAGGAGGAGGGACTGACAGCTCCTCTGTCCCAAGTGCGTGAACGCATCATGGTTCCCAGGCCTACGACACTTGTTATCGGGGCGCTCGTGGAACCTGCCGTGGAGGGAGGACGTTCTCCAGGCGGGAGGAGCGATCAGGAGTTAATCAGAATAGGCCAGCACCTGTGGTCTGGCCGCTGTGCGGATCTTTTTTAGAGGATCGATCTCTCTCAAGATGTAGTGCATACGATTCAGGATTCACGTGCTGCAACCACCACAGCGCTGTTCACATCAAGTGGTCAGTTTTTCAGCGCTGCTGTACAGAGAAAGGTGTAGAGGCCATTTCATGTTCACTAGGTGGTGTGCTGTCCTTTCTGCAGTGCTGATGGACAGAGATCTGACGTTCAGCTCGTGTAAAACGTTCACTGCGGCCATCTCTTACTGTCACAAAATTTTGAGACAGAACAGCTTTAATCATCCGCTGATGAAACGTTTTGTAAAAGGTGTACAGAGAAGGCGTAGAGGCCACTTCATGTCCACTGGACAACATACTGTCCTTTTCTGCAGCAGTCGATGGACAGAAATCTGGCGTTCAGCACGGTTATCGTATGCTGCAGCCATGTTTTTCTTCTTGTCTCAAAGCTGTCG